GCTCGACACAAACACCGACGAGACCGAATGGATCGAGGTGTGGCCACCTTGCAGCTTTGAGAGCAGGAAGTCATCCGAAGATCCCACAAAGGGTCGTCGCCTGTCGGAATGACATGGGGGGGCTGGTCTTGCAGTGGTTGAAATAACGGAGAGCTTTCTCAGAGAACTGCCACGAGTGAACTGGTTCGTCGGTAGCGCGTGGCGGCACATGGACGTGTTCGAATACTGGTTCATCAGAGTCGTTATGCGCTGTTGCGTAGCCTTCAAAGAGCGATGATGTTGGTTCCACTGTCTCTGCGGTAAACACATTCGCCAAAACTGCGTCGGGCACGAGACTGTCTCCATCCGAGGTTTGTCCATCCGACACTTGGGGAGCAACCGAGACGGAAGCCGAAGCCGAAGTGGAAGCTGAAACCGCCGTGGGTGCTGGAGAGGTAGAGTTGAGCACACCAGAATTGCATCGAACGAGCTGTGCAAGTCTTTCGCCATTAAAAAAGGAGACGGCAGAGTACGCCGGATTCTTGCTTTCGTTGATCAACCACCTGAGCATCTTTTGGATCCGACTCTGCTTCACGATCATGGGTCGACACTTGTCCAGCTCCGCAAGGTTGGGGTTCCCTCTGCAGAATAGAACGCACACACTGTCAGCGAGTTCCTCGACTAACATGGGCAGTACATCGGTGAACGAAGCGGTGTTCTGGCTGAAAATGAGGGTGTTTCCGCGCCTAAATTCTTGTTGAGCTTTGCGATCTCCGAAACGAGTTAGCTTGTACATGATCTTGTAGGCTCTGGCGCGCACAGTGACGAGGTGCTCAGACTGACTCGTGTTGGAGAGGCAATCTCGGACATCAGCGGGGACGTGATCCAGTGCGCAAAAATCCGTTGCTCAACGACCGAGGGGGCTTAGTCAGTGGCCCTGTGGTAGGGAACAACCGTTTGAAGCAGTCTGGCCAGAGTGAGCACTGAAGCGTGTTGTTCATGGGCGAGTACGCGATCTGATCGATTAAATCTTTCGGTCGCTGAAGACGTCGGGGATGGATGAGTGCGCCCCGCCAAGCTGAAGAATCGTAAGTCGGTGGTCGGAGGTCCGTACGTAGTGTAGAGTTGGTTAATATCTTCCAAATACCTGATTCCTCACGCTTGATGTGGTGTTCAGGCACCCATCGTACGTTATGCCCGAAGACTCTCTGGGGAACACACCAGGTAGCAGAAGAGACGGGAACGAGCGTCGGTGAAGTAATCATTCCATTCAGAACGGTTCTCGGTCTTGAACTGATCGGATGCTGCCGCAAAATGCGATGTCACTTTACCGGGTTCTTCTTGTTCGGGTTCGGGATGCAGCGGTGGACGTCTGTGCATCGTTTGTTTAGAGGTAGTCGCCGAGACGTTCTCGCGATTCCTCTGGGCTTCCTCGTTCAGTTCGGTTTGGAGCACGTCAACAGGTTTTGATGCGTATGCTCTGTGCTCGGGGAAGCAATGGGGGCGGAGTCACGGGACTCGCCGCTTGTTGCCTTCTCAAAACATACCCATTTGAACAAGCATTACAGTTGGGATCGCACGACCAAAGGAGCGCTTGTAGGAATAGCTCTTTCGCAAACGGATTGCTCCTGGAGTATCCTTCCACGTGGTGCGCCCGACAAAGCTCCTTCAGGAGATTCATGCTGAATTTGATGCTGCTGAGCACGAGTCGCCCCAGACTGCATTCTACAATGCCAACACTGGACTGTTGCGTAGGAGCGGACCGGAGTACATATACTGTGCGTGTCCGGTGCGGCGGGAGGATCGGCTGTCGCTAGCGGTGGACGCGAGGCTTAACACGTCGTCGAGATTCGAGCGTTCAAGTTGTGGGCTGACCTCGATGGTGCGGAGGGGTACAAGATCACAAAGAAGTCACATGACGGCGGCTGTGTGATACGGGTCTTAGAGATGCGAGGACACTCGGTCCAAGTTGGAGCAAGGCGAGTACAGAGAGACGGAAAGGAGAGGGCCGGGCAGTGGCAACTTGCCAGCGGACCGGGCCTGCCGCGGGGACTCGGGGAGAGTCGGGGAGGCTGATGACGCCCAAGCTGAGTGCTAAGTGCGAGGGGCCCTCCTATCCGGGAGGCATTGTTTTAACCGATCGGCGCTGAACTCGGACTCTCCTATTGCGCTCAGGCAGGTTCCTCCCATCCGGGGTAGCATTGTTCGCACCAATCAGCGCTGAAATCGAGCTCTCCTATTGGTGCTTCAACAGCCACGCGCGTGCGGGGTATTTCGGCCATTGACGCGCCGCGGGGCGGCGACGAGTCCCTGAACCTCTCAAGCGCGGCGCGGTCGAGTTTAACATCGAAAGGGCATTCATCTCAATTCTATACCAGTTGGTAAAAATGAGCTATGTACTAGAAAGCGAGTAGATTGGTCAGGCGCCCAAGTGTCCGAAGCCCGCGAGGCCGATTTCGTCTTCGTCCGAGTCGGCGCTGCTGTTGTCGCTGTCCGACTTGATCTTTTTGGCTGCAAAAGGGGTAGGCGCCGCCGGGGGTGAAGAAAGGTCATGTCAGGTTGACTTATGACCTAGTGTTAGGCGCATCGGTGTCTCCACTTCCCCTTATTAGTTAGGTCAGCAAAGTCCAATTCGAACTCGGCCTCGTACGCAGACCTCTTCACAGGCGAATGAATGGCCGATGAATTTTGAGGCGTGCCCTGGTATCGTGGTGCCGAGGAGGTCTCAGTAATTTAATTTTTTTTCTAAAAAAAACACATGGTTCAAGAGTAAGAGACCATGCTGATGGGGGCCCACCGCTGCACTCACCGATCCGCTGGCAGCAGGCTGAGGTGTACTGGCAAGTCGACCATGGATATGGGCTGCCATCGGGGTCAATTGATAGCGTCCAATCCATTGCTCTTTTCTCTTGTCCTCGTACACATGGATCTGTACGTTGCACATAATCCCACACACATCCTCTGCTTGCAGAATTGTGTGTGCGTATTTTTGTCGATTCGGGTCGTCTGCGAAGGAAACCGGGAAGGGCGTCGGCGCGGCCAGCTGAAGCTCCGTCGGTTTTCCTTGAAAGCGGAGCTGCAACAGCTCCGTCCAAAATTGTAAATATTCCCTGTCCCTTGCCGGATCCTCACTATCCGTCCCCAGCCAAGGAGGGATAGAGGCCTTGATGCTGGCAGGGAACGGGATGTCGCGGCCAAAGACGTGATTCCAACAGCTGCAGAGGATGCCATTGTGAAACCAGTGTTAGTTTGGCCCCTTCTGCGGGAACTTAGTAGGTGAGGAAAACGCGCACTCACTCTTTTGTGGTCACCACACGGTGGTGGATGTATGCACTATTTGAGTTGCGCCCAAATGGCGATGCCAATTCCGCAAGTTCTAAAGTAGCCGATGGGAAGCAGCAGCAGAATCAGCACCCTGCTCGCACGCCTAACACCGCCTAAGTTCAGCAAGCGGCTCACCTTGAAGATTCTTGGGAAGTTTCCAGTGCTGATGAAGGGCTTGAGACACCCCTCCTTGGAGCCAGTTTCGAAACTTTACGACCTCCGAGTCGGACTCGAACAGCTCCAGTCGAATCTCCCGGTCGAGATCTTCAGGCCTGACGCAATCTCGCTCAAGGCGCCATTGCTGGCTGTTCAGGGGCATGTATAGAAGTTTGCGGCATCTTGGTTAGCGCTAGCGTAGATCTCCAGTAACACGTGGCTTCGCTTACTTCTTTGGCACGATTCCCCCTGCAGGATCAATGGTTCGGATTCGGCCTACAAGCCATATGTTGGCGACTTGACCGGCCGCCGTAAGCCAGTGCGACTTCGCCGTAGTTCCCCGGTTTCTGTAGACGAACGAAATCGGCAACCGAGCGATGATCGACGATGTTGGCTAAGGTCGTCAGGTAGGCGTTGTAGACTTCGACAATGTTCTGAACGTCTTCGTGGGTGAGGGAAGTTCGCTCGTAATCTAGAGCGTCGTATGATGTTGGCAGCCGGTCGGTCAGAGAGGGGGTCGGAGTCATTGCTTGTCGCGGAAGAGGTAGATGAAGGTGGCGTGGTGACAAGTAGGGAGAAAGAGATGAAGAGACACCGAGGTTTTGAGGACAGCCGAAGATGCTTGCGGAGTCGACCCTGAACCATCCTTTGGACCATAGTAACTGTGTAGTACGACTGGCTGCTCTCGAGCTCGAGGGCCAACTTGTGTCGTTAACCTGATCTCATCAAACTCATCAAGTGTATTCAGCTGAGAAGGCGCTTCAAATGTTTAAAGGTGAACAAGGTGCGACAAAGTAGACATGTTGGCTCGAGAAGCGTGCAACTGGGCACAATCAGCAGCAGAATTTGACTCGAGTTCGGGGATCTGGATCAAGACAGGCTAAATCCGGGTGCTAGGTCTGGCCAGTGTCAGGTCCGGATGCTGTAGGTCTGGGTACTAGGTCCGCGCTCCTAAGATGACAAGAAGATTGCAGAGTCTGACAAGCCCACAAGTGTAGAGTGTGCAGGGTGGGTCGGGCCGTGTGCGAGTGACGAATGACAAGGCGAAGCTTCGAAAGCGACGTGGCTCGAAGGGCGTGAAACCTGTGCTATTCTTAGTTCTTGCCCTCCCGCCCCGTTATGGCAACCGGCCCCCCCTCGCCCCCCTATGCTTTATGACGAGGTCCAAGGAGTCAAGGACCAAGAGCGACCCCGCCGCCGGGTCCGTGACTCCGTGGTCCCTGTCTCCTGAGGCCTGAGTCCTGATCCCTGAGCTAGGCCGAACAACGCCGCGCGCGTTTTCATAAAGTGCGGGGAAGCTGTGCCTGAGGACTGAGGGGCCCAATTCTGAGACACTTTGAGATTTGCACCAATTCTGGGCCCGTACCCGTGCCGGGGGGTGGGGGGGCTGGGAGGAAAAAGAAAAAGAAAGGGAGGGAAAAAAGTGAGGAAGGAGAGAAAAAAAAAGGGAAGGTTCGAAAGGGAAAGGAAGGAGAAGGAACGAAAAAGATAAGTGGTACATGATATACAATTGCAATAGGAATAAGAGTGTCTTCACAATGTCACAGCGGTTTATGATTATGACACTTCTTCTTATATCGAGCTCGACCACCCATCTCAGCCGTGGTCAGCCCCTTGCAAAACCTCGGTGATTCTGGGTTATTCGGATCCCTCTCTTCACTCAAGCCATACATCTTCCCGCAATCCACACATGGGTTTTCACACAGAATCTCCGATCCCTGTCGGGCTGACGCTGATCCCTTGAACTTGCAAGAGGCTTGACCGCAAAACCGACAGTGCCGCATTACTTTCCCGGTGACTACGCTCACTGAACTGCCACTGGTAGCAATCCCTGCACGCGGACCATTGTTGTTTGTGTCCATCGCCCCGGATGGGCGGATGAATGATGTTGGAGGATTGGACGCTTCGACCTCTGCATCGGTGAGCATCCCCGAGACCGGAGGTTTGTGGCCGAGCAACGGCTTGGCGGGCGGCGGGCTGACATTGCGACCGCGGTCGGGGTCGGTGATCATCGCTTGGGTCGCTTTGACGTCGTTCTCGGCCATATTCATTATGGCTTGAGCATTGGCCAGAGACGACCATCTGGATTCCCAACTACTTATGTGTTCCGGCATCTACGTATGAATTTTCAAGCACTCAGCTCGGTCTTAAATTCAGAGGCACGACGAAATAGCGACTCACTTTGTAAAATATATCAATGCCGTTGGCATAAGCGTTCCAGCGCTCGGCGATTCGGATGGCTCGCTGGTCTCGAGAAGTTGATGGTTCCAGATGGGACAAGATATGCTTGTACAGCGCTCGTTCGGTTGGTGTGTGAACGTGCAATACCGCAAACCGAGTACCTTGGCGTTTTGCAAGCCAGGTGTGACGGAGTTTGCGATCGGCTGGCAGCTGGATTTGCATCTGCTGAATTGTTCGTCCCATGTTCTTGTGCAGCAAATTCCGCGGCGACCATTTGAGGGGCTCGAAACGGAAAGCGCCACTCTCGACGCAATAGGGTTCGATGTTGTTGGACTTTTGAGCCACCTCCACAATAGGCACAATCCCGAATGTCTCCGTGGACGGAGCGTAGAGAAGCGGGTTGACAGTTTCCGACATATTCGTAGGGTGGGCTGGGAGGTATGCCGCCGTTTTGCGCCGCATACGATGAAGCTCTACAGTGAGCCAAAGGTCGAAGTGCCCTACATATGCCTTCCCTGTCCGATTAAACGTCCCAACCTGTGAAACAAGCACACGCATAGGTAAAACAAATTCAGTTCCAGCGTGTGTGAGCACGGCTGTACAGACTTACTGTGGAGTTGTGCACGAGCACATAGTCCGAAAGGCAAGCATTGGCATGGTACGGAGTGACACCGGACTTGGGAACCTTTGACGAACGTTTCGGTGGATCCCTCCCTCAAGACTATTTGTGCCGCGCTGGCACGAGTAGACACGCGCACCGTCATCCGCCTTTCCGTCTGGTCCTCCGCAAGGCCCACGGTCGGTGTCAGTTCGATGCCAACAGGATCGGAAACTTGGCCTTTGCGTATCGCCTCAAGACATCGCTTTGCTGCCTCGTGCGCTGCCTTGTTGAAGAGCGGTTGCGTGGTCTTCGCATCGATCAACGCCCCGAATTTCTCGAAGACCTCCCGGATTAAAGGCTCGAGAACACTCGGCGGGGGGATCCATCGACGAACGCGCCTCCACAGCTTTTTGTTCCAAACAGGCGATCGGACGGCCTCCTCCCACGTGAGTCCGAGCTTCGCTAATCGAACCTCCAGCAGTACCCGATCATCGGAGTTGGGAATGAGAACCGCATCGGAGAAGGCGCGAGCAAAGGCCTTGGCGGCGCCGTGTTTTTTGGAGACGTAGATTTGATCGAAGAAGTGCCAAGGATCCAATAAGATACGCACGGCAACATCGTCGGACGAAAGGACTGATGGATGAGGAAAACTCAAAAGCATGAGCTTGGGCGTCGCAAATCAAAGCCGAAGCTGATGCAGTGCAACTCACCTTTGCTAGTAGGCGCTTTGCCCCAGATGGATTTGCCAGCTGCTTCGGTCTTCTGAATTTGAGTGCCGCCGCAATCTCTGCAGGTCCGGCAATGTCGCCGTTGTTGCGGTCGCGGTCGTGATCGTGATCCTCTATCGGCGAGTCTTCCACTGCATGTTGGTCGTTATCGTTGACGATGTTGTAGGCGCCGGAGTGAATGTTTTTGCCATCGCCATCCGTATTTTGCTGCAGTCCATGCGCATCCGAACCGTTCGATGTCGATTCAGCATGATCCTGGACTCGATCTTGGACTGGCTGTATGAATCCTGCCCATCGTTTGAAAGTTCATTAATGCGACGCTTGTCGGCCCGAGATTGGGTTGCACCGTCGCGAGTGTCGCGACTGGAACCGATCCCGCTGCCCTGGCTTGATGTTGAGGCTGGCGGAGAAGAGGTAGCGGCAGCGACCGAGCCGTTTCGGTTCCAGAATGAGAGTGACAGCTGCATGTTGTTGGCATGAAATGCATTGCACAAACGGCAAGAAACACAAGAAGGGACGACACGCTCCAGCTCGCGCCGCGTGTCAGCCAGCCTGCGCCAACTCAGGCCAACTCAGGCCCATTGCGCTAACCTCCGGTTGCGCTAACCTCGAGGCAGCGATTTGGCGCAGGGAGGTTAGCGCAATCGAGTGCGCTAACCGGTACCGCCCCAATAATGGGCTAATTGGGCCCGTACCCATAATTCGTCGAAGGTCGTCCAAATTCATCTTGGGCGTGCCAGTTGGACTGCGAAAGTCGTTGAGGCGCAAATCCCCGCTAAAATGGACAGTCATGCCGTGCTGAGAAAGAAGTTTGGTCCTGTCGTACCAAAATCGCGGTTTTTCGGGTACAGCGACACGGTCTCGAGCGCATCGATTCTGCAGTGCGGCAGCTGGATGAGAATGAGAGCATGAATTAGGTCAGGACGGAGAGAAAAAACTCCCAGGCATGTCGGGATCGCAAGTAAGCAAGCAAGCAAGCAAACAGTACTTACTGAAGAAGTGTCTCACCAATCGAGAGTACCACTCCACAAGATCTGCAAGCTGATACCGCTTGTCGTTGACGTCGGCCTCCCAGACTACGGAAATATCAGAGCAAGGCACGTATCATTAATAGTGGACAGGGCGAAGAGCAAGGGTTACGCGGTGACGCGTGAGCGCGCCCCATCAAGGTAAGATTTTATTCCGCACCTAACCGCTTCTGATCTTGGGCCTGTTTCTCGAGCGCGGAACGACCAGTCACACACTTGGTGAGAGACTTCAATATCCCGAACGTTCCATCTTTGTCGTCCCATCCCATGCGCTGCGCGAATGCTTTCCCTCCTGGCGAAGACACAATGAAGCGATCGTCACGGCGCTCCACGCGGCTAGAAGCGACCACCACAAAGGTCTCAAGATTGAAATTCGCGGTATAAGAGTCGGCCTGGCAAAGGTGTGAACGAAGTGTACGAGAATGAAGTTGTGTGAGTAGAAGGATTAAGAGACATGGTTCTTTGACGGACCATCAGCTTGGGCCAGAAGCTTGCAACTCACCAGCTCTTGTAGTTTTGAGGCCAGTTCCTTAGCCGCTAGTGCGGCTGCCTTGTCACTCGCGACCAGACTAGAAGGTCGCTGGTATGCGATGCTGACAGCAGCCTCGTCCGCATTGTCCGCGTCGTTTGCTTCGTCCGCACCGCGCTCTTCCGGGGGGTTCTCGAGAGCAAGGATCTTCGCGCACTCGAGCCGATCGGCTTTTGTCCCAGCGATGCGTCTCCAATACCTAGTCGTGATCGTCTGCCTGTCCATCAGGCCGGGTGGCACTGCAGAGTAGCAGATTTGATGTCAGAGCACTTCATCAAGGCGCTTCCGAAGCTTACGAGGCGCTTGGATTAGGGACGCACACTCGATACCCTCCTCTGCAGCTAGTCTGTCGGCATATTTGCTGTATTGGAAAGCGTTCCAGTCGGTCCTCTTTTTTCGAGGTGCAGGCGCAGAGGGCTGAGTGATTCGAGCTAAATCACATGGGCGGATGTCGTTCTTATCACAGTAGTCGAGTTTTTGAATGTACAACGTTTAGTCGAACGCGCGGTGTCTTTGGGCATCAGCTGAGGGGACGAAGCGTTTAGTCTTCCGCTCAAACAAGCCTCGAGGGACTTTCGGTGCCGGGATCGGTGCCTTGCGACGGCGTTTCTGGCTGGTGGTGCTGGCTGTCGATCTTTAACCGAAAGTCAAGGATGAGCTGGAGTCAGGATGCTGCCTAGGTAGGGACGAATAAGGGGGAGGAATGCCAGCCGGGGCGTTGGAGACCACGGGACCAAACCAAAGACTGCATTTAGCCGTTCATTGAGGATGGACTATACGGAGGCTGGGAATCGAATCGAATTCGGACGACATTAAACATAGTTAGCATGAGCCATCGCAGTTAGGGTCGAACTGATCCCCGTTGAACAATCAGTCGGAATATGTGCACAGCACAGCGAAGGAGCAACGCGACCCGACGCGACCTACCAGTGCTTGGATCAGTCGGTCACGCCCTGTAACACCGCTTGAGGAAGGTGAATGTCGAGAACGTCGCTATCCCAAAGCAATGAAGCTGAACAAGCCAAAGATGAAGTACAATGAACTGGGTCAGTCAGATCGTACCTCCGTAACAACAACCTGGACGCGTCAAAGTTTTCAGAGCTCGCTATTGATGTCCACAGCTACTAAGACGTGTTTGGGATGCGGCGCGGCGGGGCAGCAAGCATGGTTCTAGGGCACTCACTGGGGACAATCCTGGCGAGTGGTTGACACAGACGATCGGTCGAACGCGCAAGACTGAGGTAGAAGATCAGAAACAAGCGATGTTGATTGCCAGGAAGCCTTGGAAGGGACGCGGGTTGCAGCTGCAAACGAGAACACGCGCTGGCATGCGCAGGTCTGCGCGTCTGCTCAGCGGCGCTCAGCAGCTCGCTCAGCCTCGCTCAGCGCTGGCGTAGGCTCGCGTCACGTGAGGCCGTGAGGTCACGTTCAATTTCGACTAACCATTAAGCTCAACTAAGCCCTCCCTCTGGGAGGGGCTTAGGACTTATCGGCGCGCCTGGCCCAGTTGCCCTCCGAAATTTCAGGGCCATTTTGGGGTGGTTTTCTGTAGCGTGGCAAGTACTTACAATTATCCAAAACGCAGAGATGTTATTGATCTTCTACTAGAAAAAATGGCCTGTGCCGAACGGCAAGAGGATACCCCATCTGTAGCCGAAGCTATAATGATCTGAAGTGTGTAAATTTGGTCAATTCCGTCCCAAGTGGTCCGAGCGGCAGCACACTGCTGCAGCCGCCGGCTTGCGCACTTCGGCGTGTGCGCATCGATTTTTCTCCCGTCCATTCCGCATCACTCATCTTCTCGGTACTATGCTCTTCGCTTGTTCTCGATGGAACACCACGCTTATCTCAGAACGACGCGCAACCGCAGACGCTATGACTCGACGACTCGCCAGGATCGCCGCCGTCAGGCAGATCTATTCGCTCGGTTTCGGCTTCACAAGCTCTCACTATGTCAATACCTCAGGTCAATACCTCTCGTGGTATTTCAGCCCGTCAACACAACACGATGGTGTTCATAATCATAGGCCAAAGCTCTTCAACAGTAATTGGACCCAGCTCAAGCGTTTGACGTCGCTTCCCGGCTGTCGAAGTACATGGTGGACTGGGGAAAGGTGCTGGGATCTGGCCGCTGGTTGAGGAGATCCCTGATATGTCCCATCGTACCGTTTGTTCTTGGTTTCATCTCGACAACAATATTGCGTAGGTTTGGTCGGAAAAGGTCGGCTTTGGCGAAGAACGTCCGCGATTCGGAGAGACTGGATACCTTTAGGATCTTGTTGATTTTGTAGGGTGGAGCGCCGGCGGTGAGGAAGAGTGTTTGACAGCCAAGTATGAGACGCCGCTCCGCAACTTGCCCATATACGGGGCGAAATGCAGTCGAGCCTTCCATTCCATTGAGTGGCTCATAGCTCCGGCGCGCTCCCTTTCGCTGAATCCTCACTCGGCAATCTTGATTGCCTCGTCATAGGCAAGCAGCTTGACTCGTTCTCGGAAGGAGTCCTTCGATATCAGCTCGGCCCAGGGCTCGTCTCCATTGTGCATCTCTGGAGACTGTCGGAGATTTTTAGTAGCAAGATATCAGTACGGGGGTTGTGAGCATGCAAAAACCTGCGGCGGATTGAATGGACACATACGATGAAGATGAATGAGACAGTATGGGAGGGATCGCTCAACTGCTGGTACAGCTCTCCGTCACCCCATGTTTCCTTGCATATGGCAACCGCTTTCTTTCGCTCTTGATTGAGATTGTCGGCCTGTAAAGGTATCAAGACCGTGGGACTCAGCACCGGCGTCGGCTCAACGGCCAACCGAATAAAACCTACGTGATGTTGGCTCAGCGCAGTCAGAGGACTGACAACTATGGTCACAGCCCGGCGTCCGTAAACCAACTACATGGCTTGTTGAAATATCAAGCTCTTCCCTAAACCCGTTGGAGCAATGACGAATACAGCGTCATACTGATTTCGAGTCTTGAACCGCTCGAGCTGAAAAAGTCCCGCGAGAGCTTCGATTTGCACCGGCCGGGGGACGAAGTCCTCGCCAAATTTGTCGACCAAGAGGAGTCTGAGCTTCTTGCGTAACTCAATCGGGTCAATTCGATCTTCTTGAGTTGATTGTGATCTCCAGTGAGCAGCCCGAGAGCGACGGGTAGGCAGTTCGGGGGTTGTGTCGGTTGAGTGATGGTCCCTTGATGTCGTTGGCTTTGCCCTCGAAGCTGATCGTAAGGGCGACTCTCTGAACTCAATCGATGGAGACCGACGAGGTGTGCCTTTGACAAGCGTTGGCGTTTGTACGGGCATGGTGGATCATGAGGGCGGTAGCGACGTCGTGGACTGGCGTTGTGGACCGAAGGTGAGGCCGGTGAGGCGCGGCTGGCTGATTCACGTCGGCGCGAAGAACCGTCCCTCTGGGTCCGTGCGCGAGCCAGCTCCAAGTCGAAACTAACGACTTCTCACCGCTGTAGCTCAATGAATAGGACATGCAAGAGTCTTCCCTTGGGCAGATGCTCGTAAAAATAGCATAAGAATGCGCCTTTTTCTACATATTGTATAGGTGATTTTATTTGCCAAGCTACAGCAAGGTGGTACTTTTCTGGGCCAAATTTCGATAGGCAACTCAGCCAAACGCGCCGATAAGGTACAAGCCCCTCCACAGAGTGGAGGGTTTCGAGCTTAACTAACCATTATATTTTAAGTCACCCAGCCAGTACTAAGTGCTCACGGAGCAGGGTTTTAACTTTTGATCGAGGCCTCCCATCGCGCAAACATGTTGATAGTTAACAAGATGCGGGAGAGAGAAAAGTACGAAAGATGTCATGTAAAGGCGATTGTATACTGGAGTGCTTCAGTATGAAGCCATAAGGCCATTGTGACGTCTTTCATCTCTCGTGCCAACTGCTCCGAGACTGGGAGCTCCCTACTATGGTACTGGACCCAAAACCGCCAGGAAACCCGCTAAGAAGCGAGGTTTGGCGGGCGCGCTTCGCGCCGTTACCGGGCGTGTACCTTTGGGTATGCCTGAGGTGCTCGGATCAGGTGTGTACTTGCGTATTCATGTCTCTTTTTTTCTTTTCAAGCCTGATTAGATTTCACATATTCGGTTATCTACGATGTCTCATTGTGCTCGCGCGTACGCCGCACAGACCTCCTCGACCGCTCGCCGCTCCTTCCAACTTCACCCACTACTCACCGCTCCACCATCTCTCGCTTTATTACTCGATAAGAGGATACTTTCGCCATCGAACACGCTTGTGGCTCCTCCTCCTTGATGCATGGTGGACAATCGACCAAGTCCAAGACCTAGTCAGCCTCGACCACCCTTGACTCATCGGTGTACCCGCCACCAGTCGCCACCCGTGGCACCGGGCGCGTTGTCATCATTTTTACCTCATCGGAAACACAAAAATATCTTTGCCGAGAGACACATCCTGTCAGCCGACAAATTCCAGAAGCGTAACACTGCGCAGGGCTTTGAAATTGATCCAGCTTCCGCCAGACGGGGATCGACTGCCGAGTCGGATGTTCCGCCGAGTGGCAGAACGAACCGAGCCATGCGCTCCGACGACCTTGTCGACAGGTTCGGCGGAGGCATTTACCAGCACTTGAAAAGCTGCAAGGGGCACGGGAGCTCGACCGGGCTCTTCCTTCTCCGCTGTCAACCGTGCCGCCGCGTTCAAGCATACAGAGGTTAAAACCGACATTTTGCATCATTCCGCAACCATGTGGTCAGTTCAAACCCTACCCCGTTTCCTAGCAGCTTCAGAGAACGGCGTGATCGTCCCCGCTTCTTCAATCAGTACGGGAGCCGGTACGGATTGGGTGTGTTCGATTGAAGGGAGTTGGATTGGGCTTGAAGAGGAATGAAAATGATCAAAAGAGTGGAGGAGGTGATTTAGCAGGATTCTATTTCTTGGTTCGGGTTCAAAGTGTTGTACTTTTTTGTCAAGCTGTGAGGAAGCAAGTGCGAGATTAGGGGTTACTAATGCGTTAAAGTAGAGACCATCACGGTCGAAATGCAGAGGAAGGACAAACACACGAACAAAAGACGGAAAGACGACAAAAAATGCTACAAACGAGTATGACGAACTGATGGGAGAACAGGAACCCCAACACAAGCTTCAAATTCCGACCCTACGACCCTTCACTCTCCTCCGTAAGCCGACCTCTTCCTCGGCGCCCCCGGCCCTGCCCTACATCAAGCACGCCCGATCCACGACTATTCATCTTGTTCTTCTCCGGCGTTACCTGCTCCTCATCCTTTCCCCCAACCGCGATCCTCGCCTCTAGACTTCCCACGTGAGGGTTAGGCAACTCGCCCTCCTCATCCTCTTCACGCTCAGTCTCGGTCTGCGGTTCCTCGCCGTCCGCAGGCGGTCGTTCGTCCGAAAGGGTCGGCTCAGCTGGCGCTTCAGCATTCCTTTCCTTTAACAGGAACAGCGACGATATTGTTTGACGTCGTCGTCAACTTGTCCTTGGTCTTCGCATCCGCACTCGTCCTGGCTTGAGTCTTGACCTTTCTCATCGCTGATCCATTCGTCTTTTTCGTCGTCCCGTCCGTCTTTTTCTTTGACGCCGCAGGAGCCCCAGCCTTAACGCGACCTTTCATCGTCTTCTTACTCGCCGCAGCACCCGTCTTGGTCCTCGTCGTCGACTTTTTCACCGCCGTCTTCATGACCATTTGTTTCTTGTGCTCCTTGGGATCCGGTTCGGACGAGAACCAAGCGCCTTGGAGGTGTTGAAGACCGGTTGCGGTCATCTTGTACGACGCTCCGATCTATTGACGGAAACCCCGACCCCAACGACTCACGGTACGTTGAATTATTCCCCG